AATCAATCCATCCCGTGTCTATCACGTAGGGGAGGGTGGGGTAATTGAGAACGGCGGGTAATTGGGAACAGGCTAGATAAGTAATACATCCCCCCCGCACTACACCGTCACGAACCTATTCAACGGCTGCATGCAGCCTGCATGTATTACTTATCTAGCCTAGAGTCCTTTTATAAAGGAACTCTAATCTAGCCTGTTCCCATCAATTATCCGCCGCCGTTCTCAATTATCCCACTACTCTCCCCTACGTTCCGCGAAATATTCGAAGATGCATCTTCGGTCCGGTATCATATATATGTGACACTACGCGAGCAATAATTCACTGATATTATAGTTGCTTTCCATTTACACTCAATATAATTGATCTGTAAAAGTCACTCAGTTATGTGAGTATTTTATACTCAGGTAAGATATGTCATTTTGTATTTATCTGCTTATTTTGGTGACGAAGCTATCGCATAATAATACAGATTCATAGCCTCACTTTTAATGTGAGTCTATTTAGATTCATTAAAGCACATGTGGTCTCGATTGTAGATAAAAACTCAGTTGAATCTCACTTGCCAGCATGCAAAAAAAACGTGCATTCAACAGATTCAACTGAGTTATGACGTCACAAGAGAATTATCTGAGTTTTGATGTAAATGGAAAGCAGCTATTATATACAAGTTTCACATCTACAAATGTAGCGCGGACGGACGCGCACCAGAATGATATTTTATCGGCAGTGTCGGAAAATGAACGTGGCTACGTAGTACCAATTTCAAAAATGGATGTACTGGCGGTAGTGTACAGGACTCCAATACTCCAATCTCCCATTCCCATATGCGCTGCGGAGTGCGGAGTGCGGAGCGGATATGCATTTGTGGCTGTGGCTTTGTGGCTGTCAAATATGTCGAACACAGTGATACGCAGTGAGCTAATACGTTGCACAGTAGCGTAGTACGTTCCTCAGGTATATTTATTTGTCAAGCCCGTCATATTCTTCGGTTATCATAATTTGTGAACGAATATCGCAGAAGGCTACCGTCTTATTCCGTCACCCGCGCTCATTCGCAGTTCCCCATTATTATTTTCTAGGTTAAGTACACAGATAAATGAAAGTGATGTCATTTACTTGGTGTTATTGGTGTTATTACTCATCGAAATTACAAAACTACAGGCAAAATATTATTTTTAGAAATTCACGTTGATTGTACGCCCGAAACGGTCATTATAAAGTAAATGTATTATATTTTGCTGATCTCGTAAAACCTGATTTCGAGAGGACTGACAATGAGAGCGCTATGCTCTCCAATAATAGTAATTTTCCATAGCATTGATTTGTCATAACCGAGTTAACGACACTTCTTACATCGCTGCCATCATTAATTTAATATCATTAAAATTCTTTTTTTCAAAGACGAAACTAATAATACTGTTACAATATAGAAAGCTATGCTAGAAACCTTGATGCAAAGGCACCAATCATATGTTTCAAAAATATGTACAAATATTTTGGATAACTGTTCCACTTATGGATCTTGATATCAGCAATTTCGCTATATGACCAGTTTATCTTTCTGTTTTTTTTTTTGTCCAATTATTTGAATCCAATCATCTATTTATTGAATTACTCATGCATTTAAAATTGCACCATTGCATTGTTAGATGAAATGCCTTAATGCTGCATCAAAGTAACATTCCGTTCTGTTACTATGTATTCTTAAGATACATAATTATTGCAGATCATTCGTTGGGATGTGAATGATGCTGCGGATTCGAACGATGCTGCGGATTCGAACGTTTGTTTACCTTGTCGCGCTTGTCTCGGCGGCGAGATGCAGCGACATAACACCCGCCGTGTTCGGGAACGTGTTGGACGGCATGCCGGCGGCGTTCGGCGATTTCAATTCCGACGAATTAACAGATGTGTTCATGCTGCGCAACGGTGGCCAGACGGTGGAGATATTCTTGGCGGCTGAGCAAGAACCTCTGCTGCGACCTAAGCCGGATCTGAGTTGCCCGTTCAAGGACCACGTGACCAGCGTGGTACCTGGTGACTTCGATGGCGACGTCTTCATGGACATCCTGGTGACGACGTTCAACCCCGATCAAAAGCTCACGTATGTGCACATACTGTGGGGCGGGAACGGCCATCTGAACTGCAGCGATGAGTGGAATCCCCTCATAGAGATGCACGATCAGCCGTTAGCGGTGGACTACAATCAAGACATGATAATTGACCTCTTTGGGGTGGACAAGCACGGCAGAAGGATGTTCTGGATATTTAATGAGAATAGAACAACTCCACGGGCCGTAGAGATGCTCAAGGATAATTCGATGCCGCTGGAGCCCGTGAGAAATCCGCACTCGAACGCTTTCCTGGATTTGAACAGCGACTTTCTGTCGGATCTCGTGGTAACCACGAAAAAGTCCTTCGAGATATGGTTGGGCACAGAACATGGATTCGAGTTTTCCGATGAGATCGACCTTCCATATAATATATCGGTCGATAGAAATTTTAAAGGGGAATTCGGGCAGACTCTCTATCTGGACGTCGAACTGACCGGTAAGATGGCTCTCCTTCTGCCACTGTGCTTCGATCAGGATTGTACCAATTGTACGATAATGATGTATTTGAACGGCTGGCACAATTTGCGTGTAAACTTCCGTGACCCCAACAATGTCTTGTGGGGCTTCGTGAAGCCCAATGGTCATCGTTACACGGAGACTATCACTCTGCGGGGCGGCGACTTCAACATGGATGGCTATCCGGATTTACTAGCGACTCTGCAGTCTGCGAAACAAGCGCAATCGTTTTTATTGCAGAACGTGGCGTGCGATAACTGCGCCGGCTTCAATCGCACCTTCGACGTTAAGTGGCAGGCGTTGAATCCGTTCTACAACGAGACCGCGATGGCAGTATTTTACGACTTCTATCAGGATGGCATCCTGGACGTGATTCTGGTTGAATTCGATAAGACGAACAACGCCTATCGCACCGCGGCGTTCAAGAACAGTTTGGACTACGACGCTAATTTTGTCAAGGTGATGGTGCTCACTGGACGCACCAACAGCATGTATCCCATCTCACCGGGTTCGCTCGGCAAGAAGAAAAGAACCTACGGCACCAATCTGCCGGGACCGTCGATCGCGTACAGAACCACCACGCAGGATGGTAGTCCTCGCAACGCGATCGCTGCGCAGTTACCCCAGAGCGCACATTTCTCTCTTAACTTACCGTACACCACCTTCGGTCTGGGAAGAACGCCCAATTTTGTGGATGCTCTCACGATAGGGGTACGTGTGAAAAAACTGTAAAAGCGCTTTCTTTTAAAACTGCCGTTAATTACACCAATATGAATTAAGATTGATATGAGATTAAAAAGGCTCTGTTTTTCTTTTATAAGTAGAATTATAATTTAAGATGATACACATACGTAACAGTTAATTACTAATACAACATTAATTGCTTCTGATTACTGGTGTAACTTGACTTCAATGGAATTTCGAATGACGTTAAAGAATAATTTAAAAATATATATTTTCTTTTTCAGGTTGGCGGCAAGTCGCGAGAATGGCCGCAGATTATTCCGAATTCCCAGATGGTCGTGATACCGAATCCGATTGCCGAACCATCGAGATGGAAGGCCCAACTATTCGTCACGCCCAGCAAATTAATCTTACTGAGCGCGGCCGCCTTATCTGGCACCTGCGCTTTGATCACATCTCTGATTCTCGGTTTGTATTGGAAGGAGAGAAGAGAGGACAAAATCGAGAGGCTCCAGGAAGCGCACAGATTTCACTTCGACGCGATGTAGAGAAGTGAATATAATAGGGGGAAAAGGGGGGGATAAGATAATAATAATTAAAGCTTATTTAAGATATTGATTTATTGATATAATAATTTAATAATAAATAAATCGCGCTTAATATCCTATTCAAACTCGCGTAAAATCCTCATACTCATCAGTCGCGACTTCGACAGCGTACGAAATGCGTCTTTTCTTTCCATCAACCGTAGTATTTTTTTTTTTTACTTTCGATACGAAGAAGTTGTCGCCAGAGAGTGAAATTAACAATTTATTGATTCTTGTCATTATTATCACTTTTCAAAATGACAAGACTTGTCGGTGTCTTCTTCTCGTCGCGGGAGGCGATTGCCTCGTCCGAGCGCATAATATATATATTAACAAACGATCATTGCCAGAGCGTTTTCCTTTCCACTTTTTGGTCGCTGCGCATCGAACGCGCCGTAATATGCTCTCGGTCGGTTTATGCTAAAAGGGATGACTCGCTATTGGCATCGGTCGTTCTTTATGGCAGGGTTCAAGTCATTGAAGTACGGATGTGCCATCGCCTCCTCCGCCGACAGCCGTAGAGCCGGATTACACACTAATAATCTCTATGAAATCAGAGAACATTATATAATCGATAATAGAATTTGAGATAAAAGAGCTTGTTAATGTCTATAGTCTTAGAAGATTTTTTTTATTATGTAATTTTTCGACATTCTATTTTCAAAAAAATGAGAGATTTAGAGAAACAATTTTCTACCTTTCAGATTTTTATGTGCACGATATTTTTAAATCATGCAGGCTTGAATCGCAACATTGAGGTTTTATTTCTCTTGTATACATATTATACACATATACATACACATGCGCACGCGCGCGCGTGTGTGTATACACGATTTAAATTATTTTTCCTTTATCATTTATTATATTTAAACTTTGATGCTATTTTAAATCATCTGCACTCTAGTCCCATATTTTTTTCATTTCGTATTCTTTTAAGTTAAGTCGTTACATTATTATAGATTTATTAATTTCATAAAGTTTGATTGCGCATATTGTTGATAATATATTTTATATACGTCAGAAATGCTAAGTAACTGCATTTATGTTTCAATGATTTAAAATAAACGACGATTTACCTGGAGTAAGTCTTTGCCTCTTGAAGGGAGCTTGGGTGTAACCTGTGCCAGTCCTTGCGTGGGATGATACTGTGGGAATGGTTTATAGTCAGGAAGCGTCGTTAAATCTGGCCACGTCTCCTCAGTCGGTGTGCCCAGCATTTTGAATATTCTTTTCAATTGATCATCTACATCTGATCCAGGAAAGAGCGGTCTGCCGGCGTTCGCTAATTCTGTAACATATTGAGACAAGAGATATCGATATTTTAATTTATATCTCCCAACAATAAACTGTAAAAAATTAAGGGCTTGTTTTGAAAAACGAAAGCTTAAATTTAATTAAATAAATTTTTAAATATTTGTGCGTTATACTAATTGTAAAAAGTCTTGTCAACGATTGACAAGACTTAAATCCTTTAGGGGAAAAAAAATCACGGGATAATTACCGGCGAATATGCATCCCGCGCTCCACATGTCAATGGACGTTGTATATAATTTCGCTCCGAAAAGAACATCCGGGGGACGGTACCACAACGTAACAACCTCCGCCGAGTAACATTTTACAGGAATACCAAATGCCCTTGCTAGTCCAAAATCAGCGAGCTTCAGCTCCCCGTTCTGCAAATAATTCTCTATTTAATTCAATACACAAACGTAAGATACATACAGTTGTAAGACAAACAATTTTCTCTGTATGAACGGAAATATTTGTGTAAATATATAAAAGAATATCTTGAATAGCGTTTTTTCTACTGGGAAAACTAGTGCAATACTGGTGCACACTGCAAGTGCAATTTTATTGTTCCAATGTGAAAATCAATTCACATATTTTCAGTGCTTAATTTTATACTGACAAAAATTTGTCAAATTAAATACAGTAGAACTGATTTTCACATTGAAACAATAAAATTGCTCAGTTGGCACTAGTTTGCACCCAGTAGAAAACGCTCTATGAAATACACATTAAACATAAACGTAAAAATCTCGATAGCTGCGTATTTACCTTGTTGATGAGTAAGTTCTGCGGTTTGAGGTCTCTGTGCAGAACATTTCTGCTATGGCAGAACGCTAATCCTCTCAACAACTGATATCTGAAAGAGCGTGAATTTTTTTTGCGTCAGTCTCGCCCGCGGTGGGACAAATTCGGATATCTCGGAAAGCAAAGCGGACTTACAGGAATGACTTGACGACGTCCAGGTCAATCTCCCCATTTAGACTGTCGAAGTATTTCTTGAGATCCTGATCGCAGTGCTCGAACACCAAGGTGAGCTTCTTGTCGCTGTGCAGCACGTCATAGAGACGAACTATATTCTTATGCTTGAGTTCCTTCAGAAGACAGATCTCCCGTAGTGCTGACGACGGTACACCCTTGGGTAACGTAAAAGAGCACACGAGCGATAAGACGTTTTGATATCAAGGAGACCACCGTGCCGGCCTTCGTCGTGGGGATTATTTTCGACGCGACACGAGGCAGCGTCGCGTTATAAATAAAGCGCGCGAGCGATCGATTAATTAGATTAATCGGAACGCCGGTGTCGCGGCAAAACAGCAGGTGGGGATTGCGGACGAGGAGGGAGGGGAGGGGGGGCGAGAGGGAAGAAGAAAAAAAAGAATACGGGGAAAGAGAGAGAAGGACAGATCACAAGCACTACCTACTTCATCGTCATCGTCCAGTCGCACCCGCTTCAGAGCGACGATTTCGTGTGTCTCGCGATTCTTGGCTTTGAACACGGTGCCATAAGTGCCTGGAAAATAAGAAAAGCCGAGTCGAGGAGAATTAGTAGCGTACAACGTACGAGTAAACAGCACACAAAACTTATTGTTGTGTTGACAGAAAGAGCGAGGGGGACCATCGAGGAGGGGGAGGGGGAGGAGCCGCGGCGCGTCGCCGGACGACGCGGGCGACGTCGACAACGACGGCGACGACGACGACGACGAATCGCGTCGCCCGACGACTCCAGCCACGAAGAGCTCACCTTCTCCTATTTTCTCGAGCTTCTCATATTTTTGCATATTTTTGCTGATACCACGGGCGGAACGCGCACGCACGCACGCACTGTCGCGCACAGTGTCTCACCACTGCGCGCTCGCGGCACGACGGACAGGGACAGTACGGAGTATGGACACTCGAATGCACTCCGGATCCGGAGTACTCGGGACTGGCGCAGTGCCGCCAACCTGGGGGCGCCAGGCGCTACCAACGCGTCACGGAAGTCACCGCGTTTCATCGGTTATTTTATATCTATTTTTGAACCATTTTTTCATCTACGCCTCTGCTTGCATTTTTTAGATTTCTTCCCCTGATGGAAAAATGTCTCAAAAACTCCATACTTTAAATTAACTAACCATAGTTAATTGCTATGGAAGAATTGCTGTTAATCCCAACATAATTTTATATGTGTCTCGATTAAACAGAATTTAAATATATTTAAATTTAAAACATGATTTCAAAGAACGACCATGACGAATATATTTATGTTTAGTCAATATTATACTCTTCAAAATTATCGAGATCAACTGCAGTTTCCTTTTTTTAAATTAAGCTACATACGAAATACAATGCGGAACAAAACAGAAATATTTTGATTAAATATATTTATTTAATAAAATTAACATTAGTAAAATTATACGCGTAGATGGCCAAGTCAGCTCAAGAAAAAGGAATATTAAATTAATGTAAAAACAATTTATTTAAACAAACAGTACAAAAGAGAGTAAAATAAATATTGAAAATTGAAATAAACAATTTAATGTTATACCCATGTTACAACATCGAAATTGTCTGCTATTACTGCAGAGCGATTGACTATTTCTTTATTAGTAAAATTATTTAATAAAATTGACATTTTATATAAACATTTATTAATAATTATTTAATCAATAATTATTTTATAATTAATTGTTGGTCTTTACACGGTAAGAAATTTAAGTTTGTAATGATAATTCGATATGTCAAATTGAAAAAAATAATTGCAACGCTGCGTGGATCACCGTTGATAGCTACAATATCAATATTGTACCGTATATCATAATTACATATTCACACATGATATTAGAAAATATTGATATAATAAAATATGATTATGTCACTTCTCATAGCCAGGACATGAAACGGCCTGAACGGAAAGTACAGCATCAGTGGCTTATATACGCGGCATTGCAATGTGTTATTAATAAGAATATTGTGCTACATAACGTTGTATAATGATGAAAGTTATGAAAAATTTTCTAAATGCTTTTTAAATTGTTATAACTGTATCTGTATTTTCTTGCATCGTGTATATTGTTCTTCTCGTATCGTGTGTGTTGTTCCTCTTTTGTATAGTAAACACTTGAGTAAATATAAGGTCGGCATCGGAACGTCGCTCATCTTACAATTAGTTATGCGCGTCTTTTGGCTCGTCAACACAAGCGGAAAGGAGGCTACATTAGTTTTCGTCGACACGAAAACCGAGCTGAAAGTTAATTGCATCTGATCCCGATCATTCAGTTAATCATAAAATGGTATAAAAGAATCTCTACACTATATAATGTATTGTATAGTACTTTGTTCTTTTTTTGATTACGAAAATAATGTTTTTACAGATATGGTTCATAATAATATGTTAACTTATGCCGACAATGATTGAGCGTTCATTATCTAAGGCATATCCTTAAATGTGACAGAGCATGAATCATTTGGGTCTTGTTCCTTATAGGTTATATATATATATATATATATATGGGGCATTCCACGCCAATTCGCAAGGGGTCAAACTTCGATCTTTTTATTTTTGATGGCCGCTCGTTTTTTAACAGGTCTTTACGAGTATTAAACCCCTGTTAAATCGTTTCTATAATAAATGTAGCGTTTCCGAAATAGAGCCTGCGCAAAATGAGGACTGCAAAATTTTCAATGAATTTTTTCGCCTATTAGACAACGTC